CCGTCACCGTGGTGAAATCGTAACAGTGACGGGGCCCGTCATATTAGTGATGCCGCTATAGCGACGGCCCCGTCTTCGTAAAGCAATGACTACGGTGAGGGGGCCCGTCACCATAGTGTAATCGTAAAAATGAGGGAGCCCGTTGCCGTAAATTTGTAGTCGTTTTAGACGCCACCGTCCCGCTGTTTTGGTGGCCTAGTGGCTTGACGCGCAGTTGGGGAAGCGGTGGTGTCGTGACACAGGTCGTCAGTTCACATTCCAGTTTTTGAATGTTTTACTTCTTTCATTATTTTTCGTGGTAATGCGGCAAGAAAATCATGTCGCTGCCTTCGGCGGTTGTTAGACAGCCCTACCATGTGAATTTTGTGGCGGAGTGTCATTGGTGTCGGACTTCAGTGCGAATCGCGCTCTTTTTATTTTATTTTCATAGTATCGTTTGAAATATTGTTACTTGTTTTTAAATGATAATCGTGTTCATTCCTCAGGGATATAACTATCAACTTTCTTTTATGTCCAACGAGGAATGAAGACCTTTCCCGGTGATTTCTGATTGATACGGCGCTGGGCGAGCAGATTCCGTTGTATGCATGTGCATTAACTTTATTATCGCATTGAACAACCACCCTCGGCGGGGTTTTGTTCCTTTACATTCATACCGTAACTCAAACTAATAATTTGTTACACATAATGTGATGTTCCCAAATCAATCTGTTCCGCGTATTTTTCCTGTCGCTGCATGAAGGCGACGTATGGGCTGATGCCAAACTTTGTGCAGGTCAACCTAGAATGTGTCCCCACCCTGAGGGCTGTGTAGTTGGACGGTGTGTTTCAGTAAGTCCCCAAAACCACAATACATATGTCTAGAATACATGTAGCTCCGACTTCGGGCCTACTTCACCTGAAATCGCACACACAGACTTATTCATGTGATCGGATTGGCTCCTCCATACAAGGGGATAAGCAAGCTGCTTTCGTCCCACGAATGCGTGCTATTGCTATGCAAACGTAGATAGACAATCGAGCTCTTTTCGGTGCAGTAGACACTCGCACGGTGGTGAGCTCTCTGTAGCTATCTTCCCATCCTGAGACGACACTTGTCCTGCGGAATCGAAACGTGTTCCGTATCCTTCTCGGCAATTAAAATGCGATTACGCCGAAGTCGTGGGCGTGACCAATCGTCTGGGTGCTTTAATTTGCAAGTGCTGGCTGGTGCGGCTGCAGGCTCGGGTAAACCACAAGGGGTGACCAAGCCAATGAAACGAGTGTGCAGGAATGAACGCGCATTTAGCCGCGTCGATGTACTCTGCGATGAGGGAAGCTATAGCCGTAGGGAGCTTGAATGCAGTCGTCTCGCGCAGCAGTAAAGAAAAAACAAACAAATAGAAGCATCTCCCGTCGCTTCAGTAAGATAAGGAACAGCAGTACTATGTCGAGGCCGATCACTATAGGCACCATTGTTAAAATGGTCCACCTCATAATTACATCATTACGGTGCTGTATTAATTGCCTTGATGCGACAGGCTCTGTGCACGCGCTTTTAATGGTTCTTAAAACTCGCCACACTTGCAGTACTGCAGTGTATTTAGCGGGGGGGGGGGGGGGGAGCTCAGACTAGGGCTGTGCGGCAGCTCCCACACGGCGAGCTGGGTCCGTCAGCGAGAAGTTGACTCAGTTGATCGTCCAGGTTCTCGCTGGCGAGCGGTTCCTCCCATCGCTCCACTGTAGGATGCTGTCTTTGAAATAGGCAACATTACTCGAAGCAATATTGAAAGCAGAAAAGATAGAGAAAAGTTCAGTTAGTCAGCGCGACTCGAACTGAAGACAGACACCAATAACGCATCATGTCGCACGTACACCGCCAACGTACCCACTGCGCCTCGAAAAATCAACGCGGTAGGGCTAATAACCGGCACAAACAGCAACGTGTTTTTTTTTTCAAATAAACAAAAACAAAATTACGACTCCTTGAAAGCGGTAAGGAAAATAGTGACACATTATTTTTTTTTAAATAACAAAAACAGATTTGAACCGACGACCTGCGGTACGACCGCATTTCCAACTGCACGTCGACCCACTGCACTACCAGAACAGCTGGGCGGATGGCGTCTAAAACGACAACAAATTCATGGCAACGCCCCCCCCTCCCCTAAGTTTTACCTTTACACTACGCTGACGGGCCCCCTCACAGTATTCTCATTGCTTTACGGTGACGGGGCCCGTCGCTATAGCTGCATCGCTATTATGACGGGCCCCGTCACCAAATCACGTTTACACTACGCTGACGAGCCCCCTCACTTCAACGATAGTACTGCATTGACGGGCCCCATCAGTCAGTGCCTTCCGAGAAACGCCTGAACCACTAAACGGCCATTTCAAACGATATACCGTGCAGGAGCGTGGCTCGAGTCGATAGAGTTGTGGCGTTTCGGTGGCCACCGACTGGATGGCCATTCAAAAGTTCCCGCGGTGTGACACCTATATTAGATTCACCAACAAGGTCATTTTCTTGAAACCGCTTAATGTCCAGGTAACAACTGGTGAAAATAAAGCCCACCCATGCACACTAACCCGATTGCAATATAACACAGCAGATATTTACAAAAAAAAAAACTCTGAATGAGGTCTGCATGCCGCGATATAGCAATAAGCGTTTTCCCGCACCCAATGCCAACAACCACATATTGTCATAGTTGTGACACAATATAAACCATAAGCCCGTAAACGGCTATCCGAAAGAAGTGGCCCGAACATTACGGCGCATTATGGCTTGAGTAAACGGTTTGATTTGATGTAGAGGCGGTCGTTCTCCTCGACAAAGTTGACAGTGTTTTAACAAACAGTGCAGCGAGAGATACAAATCTTTAAAACGTAATAGGACGACGAATCAGTGTCAATGAATGTGCGTGGACTATACTCTTGTATTGAAAGAATTTCGTTATATTTGTGGCGGTCCTTTTATTGGCGCAGAGAGAGAGAAAGAAATATTTCTAGAGAAGGGCAGGATAGGCTTATTTTCGGGACCAGGCGCCCTTCCGAAGGGTCGCTCTATCTGCGACGCGGACTGAAAGACTACAAACTCGAGGCGCATAACCTGTTCAGTTAATCACCCTGGGGATCATTAGATCGAATGGTTAAGAGCTGTGCGCTTGCGTCCTTTGTTTTGTGCCGATGAATCTCCATCTTTACGTTTAAATCTCTTCGTGTTGCCAGTATAAGCGACAGCACGCACGCAGAACTGGAGGGTTTGTTTTTTACTTGGGGCAAACTGCATCACTATGCACTATATAGAGCGAGGGGTTATCAAAGACGACTGTTTGCGCCATTGATAATATATCTTGTGCGGGTGAAAAACTTCGTCCCAACGAGCCAAGTTCCTTTTCAAGGTAAAGGAGCACACACAAAGTTGCACGTGGAGACGTCCAGACTACAGCGGACGCGATTTCAGGGCTGTAGCCACGGCGCGCGTTTCTTGATTACTGCAGGCACTCTTGTGGTTGTTGTCGTTGTTGTTATTGTTCACCTACTAGCTGTGGCGCACACCCACTGTGGGGTATCGGCCGAAAATTGAGTGGTTTTGTAAAATATTATCAAGTTGCTACAGGATAGGAAAATTGCTTATCACAGAGAAAATTATGTTGCTCAATCTAATCTATATATCTATATTTAAAAAAAGCTCTCAGTCTTTTTTTTTACGGGGAAAGCTCTTTAAGCTCTTTTTACGGGAAAACTTTGTACATGCATGTCTCCCTTAGTACCTGACTGCCTAGTTCTATGACTCACTCAGCAGGTGCGGACGGACCGACGGCCAGACAGACAGACAGGTGGGTGGACGGATGGATGGAGGATTCACGGTTTACCGATGAAACATGCCGAGCTTCGCCCCACATAGCATGAACCACTTCGTTGATATGCTTTAATTTTTACGCTTAAGGTCAAATATATAGAGCAATACCCTCAATTTTCATGCGTACATAATAGATTAGACACATTAGGATAACAATAATAATTAGTCAGTTAACCGATTTGTTTTATTAATTTAGTCTCTAACAGCCACGAATACCTTCGCATGCAAACACACAGGGGGCTCTACGTATGTGTTTGTGGCTGCGCTTTGTGTCATATATATATATATATATATATATATATATATATATATATATATATATATATATATATATATATATATATATATATATATAATTAGGAATAAAGGAGCACACTTACGAAAATTTGATAATTGTTTACTCTACGTTTCGGCCGTGCCACGGCCGAAACGTAGAGTAAACAATTATCAAATTTTTGTAAGTGTGCTCCTTTATTCCTAATTATATTTGCACCGCACCCACAGAATTTATTTTTTTAATCATATATATATATTCACCCACCTTCAGGCATGATCTCTGCTTTCCCCCTTTTCACTTTCTCTTCTCCGGATTATGCCAGTGAATTTTAGCGCGGCTGAGTCGTATGAACTGCTGTCTACAGTGTAGTTATTAGTAATTATCTTTTTCTTTCATTAGTGAGCATTGATTGATTGATATGTGGGGTTTAACATCCCAAAACCACCATATAAATATGAGAGACGCCGTAGTGGAGGGCTGCGGAAATTTCGACCACCTGGGGTTCTTTAACATGCACCCAAATCTGAGCATTCATTAGTGAGCATGTAACAGAATTATGGATGCCAGCTCTGCATGAGAGGGAAGTTCAAATTCAGTGACCTAGCGTAAACCAAAAGGCCTTTTCCAGCACAAAGCCACCCACCCTGCTTGCGTTCCTATATAAACCAGTCGGCGTTCTCCGAACGTAAAATATAAAACTGAATAATGACACTTTGACTGCCCGCTTGCAGGAGACCGTCTACACTGGTCATCTAGCAGCTCGACGCAACAAGTAGGTGGTCACCCAAAATTTGCTCGGCTATGAGATTCCAACCAGTTGCGCATGCTTATCATATCGCTCTGAAGAGACGAGTCCGGACCGCCAAGGTGTGTACTTACAGCTTGGACCACGAACCAAACGATGACGCCTTGCTAGTCCTACAGGCTCATGCCTTTCCAGAGTCCTCGGCAGGAAGGCTGCGGACGCACGGACAGGATCTGCACACGCCAGGAAAGAGCGACGCAGCGCCATTTCAAGGGGAGTCGTATAACATGGTTTCAATATCTCTTTAAATACACTAAAAAAATTGATCTTGTGCGTTTGTGTGTTCACCGTTGCGTCTCCTGGCGGAACTGTTGGAGATTAAACCGACGTGTTTAAACCGACGTGTGGACATGGTGCACCACTGACGCATTGGAAGATTTTTCTCTCTTTGTCTCAAACACATCCATCCCCAAACAAGCATGGCTCCAAGCTGTGTTCGCAGGGTACCCGCTCACTGGATTTCGTGCCGACCGGTTGTGCCCCCGCGATCTCCGACGACAGCGCAGCTCTGGCCGACTGACTAGCCCTACGCCGCCTCCTGACGCCGACAAGAGCTCCCGCCGAGTGGTGTCTCGTCCTCGGACTTCTGCGACCGTGTCCATCTTTCCTATCTTCTCCATACTTTCGTGCGTCGCTGTCCCCCCTCTCTATCTCTTTAACTTTTAATCCTATCCTTTTAATGCCTCCTTCCCCTCATCCCTCGTGAGCTACTGTTGAGGTGTCCTGCCCCTGAGAGACCGTTACGGGGCTCACTTTTATCTTCTTTTCTTTCAGAGTCACATAATAAAGCTGTGTTCGCTATCCGTACTTTGGCGTTAAGCGCATACGTGTAACGGGGGCTCTCACCGCCACGCCATCGGCCGCGGCCGCGCGAACACAGCCACACATCGCAAAATGAGACACTCGTCTCGAAGGTCATGTGAAGGCAGCCTGCTGCAATCTCCTTCCATTTCGTAAGATTGGTTCAGAGCAAAAATAGCCAACATAGGGAAACAGTACCGTGGTGTACATACAACTTAACGCCACGTAGTGCATCACCGCTTTGCTTAGGGCACGATCAGCGCCGTAGCAGGTGGAGGCGTTGCTAATCCCACAATTTCGCACAACCTTCTGCAGCAGTAATTTGTGTATAGGCAACTCTTGACGAAGTACTATCGCCCGGCCTGACCAGGGAAGCTGTGGTGTTTTTTGTTTTTGTTTGTTTTGCGCTTAAACATGAAAGCACCGATTAAAAAATTGTGATGTAACGATTTTTTCTCGCTACTATAACTTCGTTATATCGAGGTTGTACTGTACAACTATGACTGCGTGTGATAAGCCTAATACTTATTTATTTTGGTGAACATGGTGCATCACGGCAACGCAAAAGTAATATTGGACTAGGGCATGTTCTCCTTTTTGTCAGTACAAAGTTGAACTAAACAGCAACAACAACAACAACAACAACAACAACAACAACAATAATAATAATAATAATAATAATAATAATAATAATAATAATAGTCTGACCAAACTCCTTGTTTCTTTTTATCACTGATGGTGCGGCTGAAGCGAAAACGTCATCCCTTTTGTCGCATTACACCTTTCCCTGTGGAAGCATTGGTAAAGCGAAACGCACTGGAGGGTGCAGCAAGGTGAGACAGGCGAGACGAGCGCTCCCCTCTACATCCCGTTTATTGCGCTTCACTTTACCAAGTATTCATCAGCGACCTGGGTCCCGAAATTCTACTCTGCTCATGCACATCATTGGCTTTTTCTGTCACTAAAACACCAGCAAAGTGGTGGACAGAGCGCAGGGGTGTTGTGGGAGCCAGTTAATCGCATTGAGGTTCAAGCCGACGCCGGTGTATAGAGTGACAGCCACGGAGTGAAGCTAGTAGACGGCGACTGCGCGGCGTCGGCTTTTTGAGCCGGTATTTGTGCTCATCCTCAGCGCGACGAGGGGAGCCAACAGAGGCGCTGCTCAAGGAGTCGGCCCCGTGTGCGCCGCCACTCCAAGTGCAAGCGCTGAAAGGGGCCCCGAAGAAGAGCAGCCAGCCAGAAAGGAAGGCGCGCGCTGAGAGAGCGGTCAACGTGGGTCGCTTCGACCGGAACAAATAAATAGGATGGGGCCCGAAAGGCACCCCGTGAAGCAACAAGGGAGCAGTCCCGGATTCTTCCTCTCCACCACCGAGAGGGAAAGCGCGATCGGTGGCAAGTAGCGTCGAGAAGTCGCTCCGGCCCCCGGGAATCGCACGACACAGACGAAGGGGCACCGTTATAAGAGGGCGAGGAGGTAATGGCAGCCGGCCCCGCAGAGGCGAAAAGGGGGCGAAACCAAGGCGCCAGATCTTCCCGCCGCAAGGGAGCCAGAAACAAACTCACACAACCGTCTCGGGCTCAGGATGAAGCCCTAAGACAAAGACAAGCTAAACCGACGCCGACCGAGCCAATCCAGAAAGGTTTCCCTATCCGGGAACAAGAAGAATGAGCTTAGCAGCGCCGAGATGAAAGTAAAGCCAGGGGAAAGAAAGCGAAATAAGTAAGAAGACCGGGCTCCTTTCCCCAATCGATACGCTGTCTGTGAACACTGCCTTGTTTCTTCGCCGTTTGAGCCTTTTTTATGCCCGTGTCGACTACCCGCGTTCTCGGCCTCTTGCCCGCCCACTCCTTTCTCCCTCTCCCTCGTGCGTTTTCTTTCTTCCTCGGGAGTGCAGCAGCGGCCCAAGTAAGCGCCATCCAGCCACTTCGGTCATGCAATCGAGAGGCGCGGGAGAGCAACCCTGTGGCACGGGGCTGCCAGACCAAGTCCTGTTATCGACCAAAGCTGTTTCTAGCCAGGCCTGCAAGGCAAGCGAGAAGGCCGCCTTTCTCATCCACCCACCTTTATTTCTTCGTTTGTGCATCCTCTCTCTCTCCTTCACTTTCTCTTTCCTCCTCATTTTTCTTGTTATTCCTTGGAAATCGGCGGGCAGGCTAGCTCCGGTGCTTACTTCAGTTACCACACTATTCGCTATGGGATTTGCGTCTCTTCTCTTTTTACCCGCCAGCCTCATCTCTCTGCTTGTTTTGCGGCTCTTCGCTTTTCCATTCTCCCCGAGAGCGCTCCTCCACTCCTTCAGTCTTTGCGCACTCCCCAGTCAAATGGGAAAGCCGAGGTACTTTCTTGAGACTGCAATCTGCAAGCGAATGCAATGGACATTTCTCCCCTTCTCCTCTCTCTTTTCTTCGTTCCCCCTCTCTCTTACTTACCCACTCACTCTTTTTTTTTGTCACCGTCGCAAGAGAACGAAAACTTTAAGGGCTGTGTTTCTGTTTCGCCTAGCGCCGGCATGAGAATGACTGAACTGAATGGTCTTTTGCGCAAACAGTCTGCGCCTCGCTTCTTCACGGGTTTCTTGCAAAAGTCAGACTCGAGAGAGTTGGGTTGTTTTCAGGAAGCGAGATGGGTCCGACCGTCGAGACGCAGCGACATTGCGATGGAGTATGCCGCTCTTCTTGCTCAACGTGATTTTTCTGTCCTTTTTTTTCTTACTTGTTCAAGCACGATGCTACTGTAGCCACGAGCGAGAAAAGAGTAACGAAACAACAGCAGCATCAACTCAAATCTCATTTCACACGTTTTCTTTTCTTTTTACCACTCTCACGTCCCCTTCCCCCGTCACTCACTGGTTGTAGTCTGAGAAGCAAAAACTTGTAGTAATGGTCATCTTGCGCACCCTTAAAACTCCAGCAGCAGCAGCAGCGGCGGCGGCGGCGGCAGCAGCAGCAGCAGCAGCAGCAGCAGCAGCAGCAGGTGGTGGTGGTGGTGGTGGTAGTAGTAGTAGTAGTAGTAGTAGTAGTAGTAGTAGTAGTAGTAGTAGTAGTAGTATCTAACCAGTAAAGGGTCTGCGCGGTTGAAGAACGAGTGGCTGCGCATGACGCGTCATTGCTTCATCTCATGACGGACAATTGAAGCAGCCTGCGACCATGGGTGAGAGTGAGAGGACCTGTATAGGTTGGATACAGTGTAGGTTGGGCACGGTGGAAATGCCGGTAATATACGTGTATAATGCAACAGTACGCGAGAATACGGATAAAATAACACAGGCACAGATTTAAAGGGGAAGATGGATAAAAAAGTGTCCCGTTTTTGCTGTTCAATGTGTGCTCCTTTGTAAGATCATAAAGGGTCCTACTAACAGTGTCTCACTACTGGACTTCTTCCTGCACTAAAGCCCATTTCGAAAGAGCGCCACGCCGGAGAAGCTATGCTTCACTATGCTAGAAGTTCGGTAGCGAAATGACAAAAGTCCGCGCGTTTCCAGATCTTCGTTTTACACGTGGCCTCCAGAATTAGCTCCAGATCGCGCGCTACTGGAACTAATCACGGAGGCCACGATGCAAAAATACAGGGATGCCAAGGGATACAAACAACCTATTGCAAACCGTATAGATAACGAGGTTTGCCCATTTCTAAAGTCAAAGCATCTTCATTTATTACTCAGTCCAAATACGAAAAAAGCACGACATTACGGGTCGCAAAATCGTTGAATATATTTCTTGGTGCAAACGAATATACCGCAAGTCTCGCTATAGCTTCCATAGCGTTTCGAATACCGGCTGCGGCGGCTGCATTTTCGATGTAGGCGAAACTGCTGTAGGCCCATGTGCTCAGATTTGGGTGCACGTTCAAGAACCCCGGGTGGTCAAAATATTCGGAGCCCTCCACTAAGGCGTCTCTCATAATCATAAGGTGGTTTTGGAACGTTAAACCCCCCGTATCAGTCAATAAATAAATAAATAAATAAATAAATAAATAAATAAATAAATAAATACATAAATAAATAATCTTCCATAGCGTTGCACATTATGTATGAAACGGAGTATTAGAATGTATAAACCACCCAGAAAATTGAATGAAACTACATGCAGCACGCTATAAACACATCGTCCACTTTGCTTACAAACTCGGCGAGAAGCATTGCCCTTTGGGATACAGATCGATTCCGATAAACCGGCGCAACAGTTGAATAGGAAGTGACAGTTTATGCGTAGGTGGTGGAAAGCACGACTGCCGTTGCAACGTTAATTTTCCGCAGCCGGCGGCCTAGGAGTGGGTTCGGCCGTTTTGTTCCGAGGCGGATCAGGCGGGAGGGCAGGCCCCGTCGTCCGGCCGGCGGCCTTTGCGGCCGAGATCAAAAGCCCCGGCCGCCGG